TGTTGCATCCCTGCCTTGCTTTCCTTTTTTTTTCCCCAAGCTTCCACCCTCACAGCAAAAATAAAATCAGTGCACACAAAGGTGTGTCACGGTGACAAATTTACACTGTGACACGTGCTACACTGATGGGCACCTTGCAGGGAATCAGGTTTAGCCCTTCTCGAGGAGCTGGGATGCTCCACGAGACAGGCAGGTCAGCTCAGTGCCTCCCCACAGCCACCACTGCCCGACCCATCGAGGCACCTCTGCCACCAGCATCGCTCCTTCAGCATCCCTCGTGATGAACAAGCCACGGGCTTGTGTTCAGCCCCCCAAACACCCACCTGACTAGCACAGGTGACTTCCTGCACCGAGATCTGCTACATCCAGTACATTCCCAACCCACATCCAAAACACCACAAACCCTAATTCCTCAGACACTTGCATGGAGATGGCCACATGGAGCAAGAAATTCATCCCCCGTGGTGTAACTCTTCCCCTCATGAGTAACCTTTGCTCATGCAGGGAAAGCTGTGAAATCAAAGGGCTGTTAAAAAGCTGATGTCACCCCCTTCATGTGACCTTCAAAGGGCTGATAAAAAGTGGGTGTGACCTCATTTACATGGAATTCCCGGCAGATATCCCAGTGGTACCTGCGGGTTGCACAGCACATAGTGAGCAAGACCTGAATAATTCATTTTGGGGGGATGCAGTGACAGCACAGTGGGAGGGAAGGAGAAGAAGACCCAAGCAAGGTTTGCTCTTGCTGTATCTCTGCAGAGTTCCCAGCTCTCACAAAAATCTAACCAGGCTAAATATACTTTTGTTTTTCATATGAAGAAAAAGTACGGTGTGAAAATAATGAAACGAATCTCAAAAAATTCCCTTCTCAGACAAAACTGTTAGCTTCATTTCAGCCAAAATTAGGAGCTTTTCCAGTAAATCGTTTGTTCAGAGAAATTTGCCCTGCTGTAACCAGCACTGCTACATCAGTAAGAAAGATGCTTTGCTATGTTGTGAGAGCATGGGGTGGTCCGTGCAGGGGACAGATCCTGGTACAGCTAATCCACACATCCCTGGTTTATGTCCAGTATTTGGGAATAACACACACCAAGTCATTTACCAGCATCCCAGAGACACCCCACCACATTCAACTGGAGGGATAAAGAAGACTGAGAAGTTGAGACAAACCCACTCAACTCTCAGAAGCCAAACCTGAGCATCACAACAAATATATAGGTGCAGGTTTGCCACAAAAATCACTGTATTAGGGTTCATTTTACTGAGTCACCATCCAGGCTGATCCCCACAAGAAGCAGAAAACAGCTTTGTCTGCCGGCAGCAAAAACCCAGCAAGGCAGAGGTAGGAACTGCACAATCAGCTTTGTGTGATACGATCACAGCTGTGCCCCAGATCCAGCCTTCTCCTTAAAAATAATAATAATCTATACACGAAAGGAACAGAAACATTATGCTTTGCCTATGAATAATGACCCAGGACACCGGGAAAAGAGACACCCACGCATGTTAAACGACGTGGTTGTGAGACCATCTCGCATCTGTTATCTGTCTTCGTCGCTTCTCATTTCTCCAGCTTTCCTGAGAAGTTCATACATATTTAAAAAGGCCAATAGCTCCATTACTCCTCACTTCTTATAATATTGGAAGATTAGAGTCCATAAGGGAGAGAAAAGAAAAGAAAGCATCACGGGGAAAATGTCATCATGGCACTGCTACATGATTTACCCCTAATCCTGTCTCTAACTTAATTGTTATTCCAAGGGGGGCTGGCAGGTGGAATGGGATGCCTGGCTCCAGGAATGTAAGGAAAGGGGATCTGGAGCAGGCACAAGGCTCAGGCTCTCCATGTGGCCAGCACGGATCTGCTCTCAATGTCCTCTTTGTTCTCCCAGCAGAATTAGGCTGGAAAACTATTAATTATGAACCAGAGCTGGCACACTCCCTTCACAGCAAGGAAGAGCCATCCCAGCCCTCTCTGTCGGTTTGAGATGCAACCAAAGTGGTGAGTGGCACCAGTGACTTTGAGGGGTTTGGGTGGTTTTTCCTTTTTTCTTTTTGCTTTTGCTGACAACCAAATTATTTGAGCAGGATTTCTTTTTTTTCTTAAGAGCAAGAGGGGGAAAAAAAATAAAATTGAATTTTCAGTTAGTTTGTGACTCAGAAGAGCAGGCACTGAGTTTCGGTAAATTCCCCTGTGAAGTCAGAGCTGTAACAGCTTCGTGCTCATACTTACCCTACAGGAGGGCTTGACTTCACTCTCTAATCCTGAACCCAGTGTAAAGACAGCCAAGGCCAGCAGAAATCTCATGCTCAGGCTTTGATCTGACCATAAACATTTTATCACCATTTCAAAGCCTGCTCAGGCACCCAAATCCAGCTCCCAGGGGATGGAGCAGCCCAGGCACCACTTTGCCTTTTAGCCACTGCTCCTGCTGCTGTCACCAAGTAGGATGAGCCTCAAGGATACCTCTGGAAAGGAGTCAAGGCAATGGCACTCCTTGGAAGTAGAGTGGCTGTGGGGCTGGAGGGACCCGCCGGGCACAGGGAGGGCCAAGAACAGCAGTGCCAAAAATCTTTCCCAAGCAGCAGCAGCAGCACCACTGACACCTTGCCCCCATCAGCCCATTGCTTCTGACACTATTTTATACACAGTTCAATATATTATTTGCTTCCTGCCCACACTGGGACAATCCAGTTCTGCGAAAGGTTGATGTTTATTTCTGTTTTCACCACTAAAAATATGGTAGGGAAAAATGAAATTACTGAAATGCCCCACAGGTTACCAACCCAGCAATGACTCCAGCCAAGGTGAGCATCGCTTCTATGGTGCACAAAAGCCCAAAACCTGATGTTTGTAAGGGAAAATCTCTAATCCTGCAACCCCCACAGTCCCAGTACTGCCCTAGCTCCATCCCCCCCACTGCAAACCACCCAGCTCTTTCCCAAGCTTTCAGTCCCTCATCTTATCCCAGCCATCAGCCCAGAAGTCCATATCCTTGATTACCAACTCTTTTTGCCTCATATTTATTCAGGAACCACAAAACTTCACAGCACAGCGACCAAAATATTAAAGCAATAAGTATCTGGATGTTTATATAAGTCTTAACATAAATATTTTGGTCACAAATCGGATTGATTTTTTTCCCCCCCAGCTTCTTGTCTCACTTAGACAATATTGATGTGGTGATATTTTCATGCTTTACAGGAACATTTTTTCCTGTCAGAAGGAAATGGATGAAGAAAATCAGCCCCAGCCACAAGCCACACCATGAGTACATACCTTTCCCAAAGGCTGAAGGAGAGCAATTTGATCATAGAATCATGGAATGGTTTGGGTTTGAAGGGAACTTTAAGCTTCATCTCATTCCAAACCCTCTGCTATGGACAGGGACTTCCACTAGACCAGGTTGCTCCAAGCCCACTTGTCACTGCTCAGGTGTTGCAAAGGACTCAAAATGACCAGTATTGAAGTCATCAACCTCAGTTTGTGCTGGAAATATCATGTATAAACCTTGCTTTTGGGGTTTCTGCTAGATGGGTGCTGGTTGTACAAAAGGAAGAGGCTTGAGGACACCCACAAGGCTCATGATGATGAAAATCAGGAAAGTTAATGGCACTACCAATGTCCTGCAGGACAGAGGGAGTTCCTCCACGGAGCTTCATCCTAACAAGTGGACACAAGATGACAACGGCAACACTGCCAAGGAGCTCCTCAAATCAATCTTCAGACCAAAAAAGCAGGAATTAAGGCAAAGCATGACCACTGTTACAGCAGGGTTGGTCTGGCTGCAGCACTCCTACCACTCGAGGAGGCCCCAGCATTGAATTCAGCAGGGTCAGCTCTTTTTTGACCGGGGAACAGCCAGCTGGAGCAGGGGGGGACAAAACCACTGATTGTCCATTAATTTTAAAGCTGTTCAAAAACTTATTGCTCCACCACTTGCTCATCCACACACAGCACGTGCAGCATTTTTCTCTCTGCCACGCTCCAGCAGCTCTTGTGTCTTTAGCAGCCGGGGTCCTAACACTGCTAACAGGGATTTAATTCGCTCTTGCTAATATTTTATCCGTGGTATTAGGTCATGTTTCCCTTTCCACTTGAAAGGCATCTTCAGCTTATTGGCAGCGGTGAAATTAATAGAGAAATCATTAGAAAGCATAAGGCTGGGGCCGTGCAAATCACACACCACAGAAGATTATTTCCAAACAATAAAATTAATTGGTGTCATCAGCCGCAGCAGAAACGCACAGAGAGAGCTCGCATTAAAAAACATGGAAGATTATTGACAGCCCGTGCCTCCTCATACATAAAACATTTGATGGCATAATTTTATTTTATTATTTTCTATGCATGAAGGCTTCCCCCTGCACGGAGCTGCGCAGGAGAATTGAAGCAGACAGCGAGACGCATCTGGGACAGCGACACCGCAGCGATACCCCGGCGGCTCCAGACTCAGAAATCAGCTGAAACCTGGTGGATTTGGTTGCGTGGCTTGAGGCACAATTAACCATGCTAATTTTTCAGCCCAGACCTAAATATACTGGCTTCTTTTGGACACCTGGGACACACAAACTTGTTGCTTCCACGGAGCAAATCCTGCAGCAAACTACACAGCCCTGGCACAGCCCACACTGAGCTCCCAAACCCTGAAGCAAAAACCCTCTTGATACTCCAAAGTACAGGTTTGTGTTCACATCATCTTCCTGGACATTCCCATCACACTGGGGGGTCTGGCCCCTTGGTGACACAAGCAAAAATAGAGGATTTTGGCCCTGGCTATGCTGTTTTCCCCCCAGTACTCAAAAATGGCTGAAAACCAGTAAACCTGAGAGAGGTAGATGTGAGGTGATCATCTGAGAAAAGCAGAGTAAATACTACAGTGCTGCCATCACCATGATGGTAAAAAAAAAAAAAAATAAAAAGATAACTATTAATTCCAAGTCTCCAGAAGGAGTGTGTGAACGTGTTTTGTTTTGGAAGAAAAAGAATAAATAGTAGCCTCAAGTCAGGATAATATTTATTCACATGCTTCACTTTGAAGTTGAGCCCTTGTTGACTTCACGTGGTGTGTGCACACACTAAGTCTCCTCGAGAAGAAGCTTTTCTGAAAACACAGCCCTGAGCAACAAGAGGAAGAAAAGAAACTGTTCAAAACCAGGTATTAATGGAGGAAAATAAATCTCATCACCAGGGGAATTACCACAGTCCCTCCAAAATACAAAAGGGGATTTAAATGGTTTTATTATTGCACCTTCTGCAGATGGTGCAGACCTGAAGAGCAACCTCTGAGTTCAGAGAACTGAATCTCATGGCAGGAAAAGCAAAGTGACAAACTTTAGCCCAGCTAATCTCCAAGATAAATCCCCATTCACTTCATTGCTGCCATAAAGAGGAATTTCTCTATGCTGCCATTTCTTCCTGACATCACTTGGATGCATTACCACACTTGGCATGAATACCTGGAGAGCTTTAGGCAGGGAAACGGGCAGGAGCAGAGACACATCAACAGGCAGAAACATGCTGGGGCTGGTGGCAGCAAAGCTCTGAGAGACACCACTACATCCAACACCCCCACGGGAAACTCCTTCCCAGCCCCACGGAGCAGGAGCTGCCTTACTGAGACAGGAGCTTGTCTCCAAGACATTTCTGCTTTCTGAAGTAACTCTGGGTATTTTCTTTCCTGCCAGTGATGGGGTGGCAGTTTCTGCCCCCAGCCTCGGCCCCCCCCAGCTCCTGATTTCAGGATCCAAACTTGAAAAAAAATCCTTGAGCACTGTGCAAACGTTTCAGCACAGGTTTGCTCAGCACATACCAAGGAGCAGGAAAGCAAACAGCCCTGCCTTCCCCAAACAGAAGCACTATAAGGGGCATGCTGCAAAGAGCCATCATTCAGCTTCTTCCTTTCCCCATCAAAACAGGGAACATTTTTTTCCCAAAAAAATTCCAAGCACGCCACAGATAATCATCAGTACCAAAGTCCCTCTTTCATTTCACCCACTGCATTGCCCAGAACAAAAACACAAGGGGAGGAAAGTCTCCCTCTACATATCTTGCATCTCTTATCTCCCTCTCCCTGGGTCCTCTAACTGGTTCCCTGAACACGTGGGTAATGCAGGATGCTAAATTACCCCAATACCCTTAATGAACACGACTGGGTAATGTCTCTTATCTGACCTTTCTTTTAGTTGGGTCACTCATATTTATAGTCATGCTTCATTTTCCCTTAAGTGTGCCCTGGTTACAGCATTTACTCATTTATGTTTCAGAGGAGAATAGGGATTTAATGGACCTAGAAATAGAATGGAGGAAAACCACAAAAGTCTAAAGATCTGCTTGTTCTCCAGACAGCTTACACCAACAGGAACTTGCTGCGATTAATTTTAATCGATTCTTACCTCTTTACAAGCCTTTCTGTGGCAAGACAGAGCTGCGAGAGCATCTGGGAAGAGTAGAGTGCCTGAAGTTAAATGTTTTTGGGGTGTTTTACACTCTTGTAACCCGGGGTGCAAACAGCAGTGCCTGCTGCAGCTCATGGTGTGACTTCACAGAAGCCAACAGCTCCTGGCACAGCTTTTTGAAAGCCAAGTTTTGCTCTCTCCAGCAAGATCACCTGCCACCCCAAGTGGCAGCATCCTGTCTTAGTTGCTCCCAAAGCTTTCAGCACTGCCCTTTCCCTGTTTTTTGAAGGTCGCTCTCACTGTGTAAACACAAAGCCCAAAGCTGAGCATTCCTGACCACTGACCATCATCCCTCCCTGCTGTGTGCCCAGTCTCTCCTTCACCTAATCCAGGGCATGTGCTCTTAACATTTCCCTGCTTTTCAAATTCTTCTCCTCTCAAGGTTAAAACTGATGAGCTGCCAAAGCAGTGCAAGAAGGTGGTGAAGGTTCAGGCTCTATTGCTCCTCTGAAGGATAACTGCTCTTCTGTGAGCCATTGAGCAAGAAGAGGTACATTAAAATCACAGATCCATAGAATCATTTAGGTTGGAAAAGACCCCTAAGATCATCAGGACCAACCATTAATCTAACACTGCCAAGCCCACCACTAAAGGAAGAAGGTAGGGGATGTTCAAAGCACTCCTGCAAGGGGCAGTTAAACTTCTTTATGTGTCAAAACCAGCTGTGGAGGTGGGAGAGGTGCCCACAGCCCCAGAGGGCATGGCTGTTATCACACCACGACTGTCCCCTCCCCTGCCCAGCCTGGTCATCAGCCCCTGTCCCACACAGGGGCTGCCAGCAGGGCAGTCATGGGGCTGAATTTTGGTTCCCTATCAGCAGAACTGATCCAGCAAGGCCAACTGGGATCCAGCCAAATGTCTCTGCAGCCCACAGTCTATCCTGCAGGGAGGATTCCTGGGGGATTTTATCATAAAGGAGGAGACTTCATAGTAGCCAAAACCACCAGTGCCTCAGGCCAGCCTAGTCCCCATGTCCTTTGCTGGAGAACATCCTATGCACAGTCCCAGGGAAAACCACCTCTCTCCATCCCATCCCTGCTCCCCTCTCCAGCTCCCAGCCTGCAAACAGGGGAACGAGGGAAACCCAGACAGGAGCAACCTGTAATTTCCCAGCACAAATCTGCTTAGCAGACCCACCACAAGGGCTTTGGAATCAGGGGATGTTCCAAAACTGCCCAGTCTCCAGCGTTATGAATAAAACCTCCTCTCTGGCACTTTTCTTAAAGCCTCAGTCCTGCAAACCTTGCAATTACTTGCTAACCGAGTTTTCAGCTCTATTTTTCAAGTTTTCAGTCCCTTGCAACTGCAGAAAAAGCCCGAAGCATTACACAAGTGCTCCCTACTCACTTAAAAAAAGGCCTCTAGAAACAACCCTATATAGTGCTGTTTTTAAAACAAATAACTCACTTTGAAAGCACCTAAGCCATACACCCTGAATTCTCTGCAGCCTCAACAGATGACTGCACAGGAGTCTTGCTGCAAGCCCATGCACCCAGCCAGGCAGGAGAACACCCATGCAGAGCCAGGAAGCCCCTTCCTCAAGGGACAGCTCTCGTGAGAAAGCAAAGGATGTGACCACATACAGACAAAGAACCACCACAAACATCCCTGTTCCATACAGGATTCAGGGCTTGACCTCCCCAGAATCCTCAGCCCCACAATCCTCCTACAAACCCTTCCCTGAGCTACCAGCTGAGCTGCTCCTCCGAGCCTTGCACCCACGGCCATCCCTGCCTGTCCCAGTTTACCCCCCAAAAATTGCATCTGGCAGCTCATCAGGAAAAACAGCACTGAAAAAAACCAGCAGGACCCCAGCAAGCGAGAGTTAACCCTTTATCCTCCCTCAAATCCCTCACTGTCTTCCCTTTCCCATCTCCTGTTGGCATTTGGGATCTCCAGCCAATGGAATAACCACCATGTCCCAGTTTGCCCGGGACAGGAGGAGAAGTTGTGATCCAGGGACGGGCTGAGCGCGGCCGGCGCTGATGGCGAGACGGCAGCCAGGGGAAACCTCACCAGTGCACAAATGGAATTCGCCAAGAGGCATTTTAAGAGTCGATTCTTCACACTCCAGTAATTAGAACAATATTATGAAATAAAGAGGGGAGGGGGAGGGCGGGTGGCAGTGCTCACACTGAGACTTGGCTGACGGAGGAAACGGGTTGAGCAAACACCCAGAGTCAAGTGAGGCCCCAAGGCAAGAGTCCTTCACGGGGCTCCCCACAGGCTGGACTTAAACCAAAAGTTTATCTGCTTCCCGACTCCACGTTTTTCTATGCATGCATGTTTTTAAATAAATTTAAAATTTAGATCAAATATGGGCTATAATGACCCTGACCCAACTGCCTTCTGTACCTCAAACACACCACCAAGGTCAATGTTTTGGGTTTTTTTCTGCCACCAGGTCAATACATTCAATTCAAGGTCCTGCTACAGACTCACCTAGTGAGTAATAAATCTCTGTGCATGATCTAAGACATCATTAAAGTCTAATCCCCTTAAGCACTCAGTCCCAAAAATTCAAATTCTCACACTGGAGCTGTCATCTAGGGCTAAAAAAAAAAAAATGTCACAACACCTCAAATTGTTGCATCAGCTGAAAATGCTTAAAGCCATCTTTTCTAATATAATGGGATGAAACACCCCTGCCTGAAAAAAAGAAATAGAACCAAACCTACATGCTGGTGGATCCATCTCTAACAGCCCCCTGGCCACTGGAGCAGCCTCTCCAGCAGTATCCCACACTGGTGTGCCCAGCGCAGAGCCCTGCACAGCCAGCTTCGCCATGGGATTTCGGATTTCCATGAGCAGAAAATTCATTTTTAAAGAAAATCTAATTTGCTGTGAAAATCTAGCTCCTGCAAAGGCAGCCTGGGAGCAGAACTGATGTGTGGGGTTCAAGACAGACCGACACTGTACAATGGTTACTCAGATCTGCTGAAAGTGGGACTCAGTCAGTTCAACTCACATCTGCAGCGAACTGTGATCTCAGCCCCGCTTCTGGAGCACAGAGGTCCCTTTGATAAATCTCTGTGTACAGGGACTAAAGCACTATTTCCGCATGAAAGAAATATATTCAATTTTTTCAATAATCTTTACAGTCCACTGGCTTGGAAGACCGAGTTCCTCTCTCCCATCAGAGAGCTGTTGCACTCCATCAGGCTCAGGTGCTGGGACAGGGAGTGCGATGCTCTGAGCCCACTGTCTCACACCCTGGCTCTCCAAGCACTTATTTAAATCAATCTCCAGTTGTTTTGTCTTTTGTACGTGCCCAGAGAAGATCAGGATGTCACAGGAACACCCTTGAGATCACACATGGAGCTTACACCCAAAAATCCCCTCAGGACCCCCAGCAAACTGCTGGACCTGATTGATATGTCACTTCCAAGCCATTTGCACTTTGCCCCTTCCCCTGAAGTATTAACCACTTTTCCCGAAACTTCAGTCACAGGCTGTGAAATCCCCACCATCTGTCAGCCAGGGAGACATCACCACCACCACTCCATCAGCCTCTCCCACACAAGCCTTGCTCATCACGAGGAATGACTGCAAACATTTGCCAAGTCCACGCCGGCTCAAAAATTCCTAAAATCACAAACAAGAGGCCTGGAATAAGAATCCCTGACAAATGCCGTGTGTCCACATCATTAGCTTTACCCAGGGTGCATTAAGGCTGCTTTCCTGCTACCATGATTATACTTTAATACCTAATTAGTAGGAAGGGAATGATGTCAAAGAGGGGAATGTCTCACTTACACACACACCATTAAGACTGAGGGTGTAAATGAAGTATCTGCAGCAGCACCATCTGAGGCTCATTAACTGGAGCAGCCAAGCACTGAGGGCAAGTGAGGGATATGGAAGAGCCCATCCTGCTCCAGATATGGAAGACAGTGCAGCCACCTCCCCTCCCCTCCTCTGCCAGGTTTGGAGCCAGGAAAGGAAAAACGTGCCAGAGCTGGAATACACAAAGGTATCAGCATGCCCCTTTTTCCAACAGGAAACTGATACCAAAGATACCCTTGCAGATGGTTTGCAGACACGATGCTCATTCCAGCCTCACCTGGAATGTCTGGAGAGGGGCTTTTCAAAACCTGTTCACAGCAAATTGTTCCTGCCCAGCCCTGTGATCCCATGTTATCACCTGGTTTCTTGTGTACTGTGCCCAGCACAGCCCCTTCACACACACACAGACCAACCTAACACCCTGCAGCTCCAGGGGATTTCCTGAATTTTCTATCCTTTCTATCCTCACCAGGTTTTCCACCCTCTCTACCCCTCATGTGTGCACACCCATTGCCCACACCCATCCTGCAGCGGGCAGGTGGGAAGAATCATGAAGGTTTAGGGATTTTTTTAAGAAGTATTTAATTTCTGAAGGAAAAAGAGGAAAGAAAAAAAAAAAAGCCCTATCTGGAAGCCTTCCAAGAACAAACAAGCAGCCCATTCTGAGAGCCAGTGGAACAAAATAGTCCGAGATGCTTTTTCCTTTCCCCTTTAACTTTCCCCCGCGAAGAAGTGTGGGAGGGAGATGAGGAACCTTCCCATCACCCCTAAACAAGGCAGACCTGGTTTCTAAAGCTGTCCCTGCTGTCACAGTCTCAGCAACCTGGAGTGTCTCCAAATAAAGGAAGACTTGAGTGAGAAACAGGGGTGCAAACAGCAAACCTCACCAAAACCACACTTCACTCTAACACAGAGGTTTCAACACATTTTTGTTTGTACTGTTTATTTACTGTGAAACACGAACGTTTCTCTTCCAATAAGCAACTTTCTAGAAAGTACCTATCTGGAAGGATCAGAGAGGGACCCAGAGCTGGCTGACCACAGTCCATCTACCTCTGAGCACCCCAATCCCAGGGATGGGGCATGGGACACCCAGGCTCCTCCTGGTATTGTGTTGAGGTGTGATATTTCAATGTGACAACTTGTACCAACTCACCTCTGCTCCAAGAGAAAGCACCATTTCCTACAGAAGCATTTCCCCCCTCATTGTTCTTTACCCTGTTTCATAGG